AGTCGGTTCCCTTCTCTTCCCCTGTTTATACACCCTATAACTGTGGATTCTGATGGACCAGCCATCAAATTTTAACTGCCCTCTGACAGCGTGTAACTGGTTTACAAGCACACAGGCCTAACACGAGCTTGCCATCAACTTGATGTATAATGTTTCCCTTTCTCCAGCTCTGGCAGCTGTTCCTGCAGGTGTTGGTTGTGGTATCTGAGTAATGTGGTGCTTGGAGTTGTACACGGCCTCTTGGATACACAGTGCTGTGGTTAATTCCGACAGTTTGTCTTTGGAGGGAGCATTTCTCCCCAGCCCTGAGAAACCAGCAAAATTTGAAGTTTTCACTAGATGGGTTTGGTTTTCCGTGTTTATGTTCCAGTGACCTTTGGGTGCAGTGGCTGTTCCCCTCCCTTGCACATATTGATTACCACAACTGGAGATCCTCAGATCTTTCAGCTGGCTGGGAGGGTTTTGTTAAAGCTGTCCGAGTTACTGGTTTGTAGAACTCTGTGTAGGTGGTTTTACAATGCATTAGGAAGAAACACTAATGGCGTAGCATCACGAGAAACATTTCAAAAAGCACTTCAGTAGAAGACAGTCACAGGGCCTCACATACATGTGTGTGATGGCAGTCAGCTCTCCTGGACCAAACCACCTTCATGATACCATTGCGTTCTGTGTTTGCAATTCAAGCTTAATTCCTTTTTTTGTTCTGTTTGTTTCCATAGCTTTTTTTTTGTTGTTGTGTTTTGTGCATTTTGAATAGCTTTATTCACATGGGTTTTTCATGCAGACTTCCCTTGGACAGTAAATCGAGTTGTTTGTGCATGTGAACAACTGAGAATTAATGTTGGCTTGATAGAGTCATAAGATGGTTTGTAATATTGTTCTTCCCTGAGACCACTGGCTTGTCTGGTATGGAAAATTTATTTAGAACTTCAGCTATGTTTGAATAAAGTTCAAGTAATCCAGTTTGTTTATAAATTGAAAACAAAAGCCCACCCAGCCCTGAAACCCAGCCTTTTGCCGGATGGTACCGAGATGTTTGGATGCAGTGGGATAAGGAGTTGGCATCGCCGCGGGGAGCAGGCGGCTGTGACTGCAGGGCCCGGCCGTGGCTCTGACCTGCCCCGCACTGCAGAGCTCTCGGGGGCACAGGAGGTGCTTTGGTTGCCAAGGAATGTGATTCCTGAGTAAATGAGATGCTGTTTTGGGGGGATGACACCGAGGCACAGCAGCCGAGCGTGGTGGAAGGCGGGAGGCCGGGCCAGCTCGGGGCACTGCAGCTCCTCAGCTTGGTGCCTCTGCCCCTCCCAGCTGGCTCCAGGTGCTCTGTGGTTCTAGGCACGGTCACACTGATGCTCCTCTTGGTCTCTTAAACGAAGGAAGGCCCAGTTTGCCCAGGATGACTGGTGACCAGAGGGAGCTGCTGCCAGGTCCTCTGGGAACTGCTGAGGGGTGTTCGGTACAGTCCGAGTCCAGGTGAACAACACTCCTATTGTTGGTGTAACTCCATACATATATATCTATATATACATATATATATACCTGCATATGTATATCTATAATATAGATATATATAATTGAACCCTTTTCATTCCATTAGTACAAGTAACACTTGTTTCCTGTTATCCTTATTTTGTTTGTAAACCGTGTGTTCAATCACTGGGCTGAACAACAGTGGAGGAAGGTGCAAGGGATCCACTCCTTACTAACCAGTGATGAAGCCAGAGATTGCAACTTAACCCATGAGTAGATGTGCAGACAAGGATTGGAGAACGATGTGTAGAAACAACACAGGAGGCCAGGGGTGCTGAAGATACAGAACTCAGGTAGGCAGGAAGGACACCTCGGTTCAGAAAGCGGCTGCTCGGAGGTGCTGAACAGCCCCTGACCTCGAGCAGCCGGGTCAGTCAGCAGGGAGACGCCTTTGTGGGGAGACACCTGAAAACAGGACACGGCAATGGGGATCTAGAGACACAGGGCTTGGCAGAGGTTTGAGGGAATTTTCCTGAGCTTCGTCTGTGGGACAGCACCAGAGCTCAGGTGTCCCCGTTCTGATCATTGGTACTTGTACATAAACCTCTGGACTTGGCAGCTGGAGCGGGGAATTCGTTCCCAGGAGCATTGCAGTGGTTGTCATCGGCCTCTGTCTCACCTACAGCCGGTCTGTTTTGCAAGTACCTTACAACTTCCCTAGTCTGTGTGTGTGCATTTGCGTGTGTGCTCATATATTTTTTTTTTTGGTATGTGTTCCGTTGATTAGTAACCATTAATTAGCATTTTCAATAGGGCTTTAAGTCCAGTAGATTACGGGTAGTCAGTTGACGAAGATCTGGTTTACAAGAACTAATTAAATGTTTCATTGCATTTTGTAAGTACATAGAATAATTTTATAAAATGTTTGTAGTTTATAAATGCCTAAAATATAATTTAAGGGCACTTCTCTGTGTCTGTGTGTGGGTGTGTCTGTCTGTGATCAGTTTTTCCATGGTACCAGTTTACTAGTTAGCTTTACAATATGCCAAAAAGGATCGCTGACTTGTCCAACTCATGGCTTGTCCCTCTCCCTCCTTCCCGCCCGAGCTTTGTGTCCCACTATACAGCGAGTGAGTAAAGGAGTTGGGAAAATGTTCTGTATCTTCAGTATCCTGGTCTTCCAGAGCCCTCTGGTTGGGGTGGGATCATCTTACCTGGTCATTTCACTTTACTGTCTAGGGCAGTTACGTTTTGGATTACGAGAACCTCACTGGTCGGGGAAACAGAACGGGTTTGCTGCTCCCCGGGCTCAGCCGTGCTGTTCAGCACCTCTGCTCCGTGTGATTTGAAGGATGTGACTGACTTGAGAGAAAGAGGCAAGACAGTTTTCGTCCTTACTGTTGAAGAACTCTTTGCAAATCTCTTTATCCCTTTCAAAGCTGTTGAGCACCATTGGAAGCTTTGGTTGAAACGAGCAAGGCAGGGTCCCTATTTATTTTTATTTAAGGATATTAAAGATCCAACCCCTCTGCCGTGGACAGGGACGCCTCCCCCTTCTTCTGTTTTCCGAACCAGTGAGGTTTGAGATGAAAGGATTGGCCAGAGTTTGTCTACCTCTGGGACAAAAACAAAACTAGAAAGTGCTAAGGAATGGATGCAGTTGCAAATACATTTTCCAGTTTTTCTTGTTTAAATTTTTTTAAGAGAAAATTAAACAATAACATGGCCAATTTATTACATAAAAAGACTTGCTGTGTATAAATTATTCCTAAAGAAATTCCTGTGTTTATATTAAAATGAATCAGTAGATAAAAAAAAAAATTCAAAATGTTTTTGTATATTCTGTTGTAAGAATTTATTCCTGTTATTGCGATATACTCGGGATTCTTTACATTATGAAAAGAAGAAACTTTGTCTATTTTGAATGGCTGAAGCTAAGGCTCCTTTAGTTTCTCTTACTCTGCTTTTTTCTAGTAGTTTCAGTACTACATGATTTAAGTTAAATAAAAGAATTCTGTATGCATTTGCCTGTTTCTGAATTTGTTGCTCCTTCCAGAAAGCAAGGACAAGTTAGAAAACTAAGAGTGAAGTTTCTCTGGTTTTCTTTTTGGCTGTGTTTAACTGAGCTACTCGGAGGATATTTTAGTAGGGGTCAGTGCTGCCATTGCTGGGTTGAAAGTGTTTTCATGCAGTGACCCCGAGGATGTGTGGAGCCCTTCTGGTGAGACTTGAGCAGTGCTTTGCAGGGTGATTCCTCTGAATAAGGTGAGCATTGTTTGTTATTCGAGGAAAATCCACTTCTTTTTACACACACAGGAATCCACAGGTGAGGCATTCAGGCAGCCAGCACCTGGTTATCAGCTTTATGCAACGGCACTGGGAATGACAGCAGGGAGAAAACCGGGATTATCTTGGCAGTTCCAGTTCTCAGACTCTTGTCAGCAGGGTGCTGACTAAAACAAGGCACGATGGTGGCCCAAAGCCTCATCAGCTGCCTGTGCTGTTACATTTGTCTCTTGTCCATTTTACTGACATGATGCCTGAGGAATGGGCTTGTGTTTCCCTGGAGAAATCCCAGGTGTCCAGATGAAGCTGCTGCTGTCCTGTTCTAAGTGACTGACTTAGAAAAATCCCAGCTAATTGCATCTCATCCTTGTGTCCTGGCAGTGGCAGGATTATGGAGGAGGGGGTGTGTGGGCCATCCCTGTGTGCTGAGGGGCAGTGCTGGAATCCCCTGTGGTACCCAGTTTCCAATGGTACAGCAATTCTGTATGGAGCTGTTTGGGATGTGGAGGGGTCTGATCCCAAGTTTTACAGTCTGGGATCTCATTTGATGCCTGTTTTGTCAGTAACATCACGTGCCCTGACCCTTCCCACAGCACAGTGCTTCAGGATTGCCTTTCCTGGGACAGGTTGGCTGTTGGGTTTTGATGTGTCAGTCCCTGAGTAGCCACGGCCTGTCCTGCTGAAAGACTTGCTTTTAGGCTGTGCTCTAGGGAAGGACTGTGATGTTTTTCTCTGGGACAGGTTCTGAGAATTTGGGGTTAGTGGTGGTTTAAGGCTGAAACTGGAATTACCAAGAGCATTCCAGATCCTGCTGGACCCCAGTTTTCTCTGTACTTGGAAGTCCCCCTGTGTTCAGAGCCCGTTGCTGATGGGTAGAGCAGCATTTACAGCAGGTCAGGGAGGGGGAACTGGAGAACTTCACATACCAGGACCCCTGTGTGTGTTTTGGTTTCCCCCACACCCACATGTTCTCTGTGGGCACTTCAGCTGGACTGGGATGGGCTCGGGGGCTCCATCCAGAGCTGAGCCCTTACAGCTCTGAGAGGCCACCTCGGTTCAGCAAGTCTTTATTAATGTCTTCATAGCCAACAGAACTAGGATTAAGCATCTAAAGTGTTTGAAATCCAGTTTCACACTTTCTGAAATCTGAAACAACCTTATTTTTAGCAAGACAAACTGCCAGTTACTTGGTTTTTCCCCTCAAGCTTTTTTTCTCGGAGATGTAAACAGTTGTTTGGGTTTTGCAAGGAAATTTCACTGAAAATAACATGGGCCATAAAATCCTTTTGTGTGGGGGTTTTAAATAATCTTTACATTTGCTTCATTTAAGAGGTAAGGAATTGCTTTCTAAGAAATCATCTTTTCTTTTTTAACATGATCCACCCCACACTGTTCTAACATTGCTAAGATAATGGTCTGTAGTGCTTTTCCTAGAAAGTCTGCTGTTACTGACTTGGATAATGGAGGCACATGGATGAAAGCTGCTCTTCCATTGCCATAATACAGAGAGGTGTAGTAGGTGTAATCACAGACGTACCTGCAATATTAAAAACAAAACAAAACCAGAAACCTGAATTGAGGCTCAGTAAACTTTGATTAAATTTAAATATTCTAAGTAGCCAAACCAGATCTGGTTTATGAAATTATTAAGAACACATTTGCTTAGTGAATAAAGGAAATGCTGAAATAAACCAAGTTTGAGAAACAAATGCTCCTTATCTGATGGTTTGGTTTCTCAGACACCCACCCACAAAGAACTTTAAATAAAAAAATCACAAGACAGGCATTCTTGTGGGGTGGGAAAGGTAACACACCCTGCTGGAAACTACAACCACGTAACACAGTTTTATGTGTAAGTAACAAAACCCCTCAGTCTGGAGGAGTTTTGTCTTTATCACCCCACCTTTTAACTTGCAGGTGCAAATCCTGAATTTAAGGGCCAAGAGTAACTGATTTTTATTTAAAAATAAAACTACCTTCTTTTTTTTTGGTTTTTTTTTTTTCCCCACTTTTCTATGAAGACTAGCACAGTAGAAAATTGCTCCAGTACTACTGGAACATATAATGAGATCGCAGACCTGGTTCTAAAGGTACCTGTAATTGCTGTTCTGCAGTGTATGTATTTACATTTTCTATCCCTCCCAGTTGAGAAAAAACAGATTAAAATCTGCTACCAGTCGGTATTGCTTTCAGTCTCTCTTAATAGCTGAGGTTTACTGGGGTGGTTCATCACAGGGCGTGCTATGTTGGAACTTGTTTCTTTCGGAATTTACAAATCCATGGAAAAATATCTACTGGCTGTAGCGCTTCATGAAAGCTGCTTTACATAAAATTTAAATCCATCCCGGTTTTCATGCTTGTGCCCCTCTGAAGGCTTTGCTTCAAAGTGATTTTGTTTGGAGGGAAAGTCAAGGCAAAGACTCTCCAAGGTTGAGCTGAGTTGCTCCTGCTGTTCCCCCGGGCCCCCGACACGCGGTGTTTACCTCCCCGCATCTCTGGAGAAGATGATATCAATCCCTTCCACTGAAATGTTTTTCCAGAGAGTCTTCATATTAATTGCAGATTCGATCTTTTCTGGGCCATCTAGCACGCAGCAGGCACCTTCTGGGTGAAAACCGCAAGCATCCCTGTCTTGGTAGCCTTTGTTCTTCCCACACTGCTCCAGGATGATGAGTGTGGTGGATGAAGCCAGCCCAACGTGAACAGTAAGCTGTGTTTTGGTTTGTTTTTTTTTTTTTTTTTTTCCCACCAGAGTGAGCAACAGGAAATTAAAAATGAGACCTGTTTTTTACAAACATGCAATGCAAAAGCACCAAGCTTTATGTGAATAACTGGCTTTGAGGTGGGGAGTCTTGCTCATGTCTAAAGAAGACTTTGATAAGGGATTGTAAATGAGAGCCAAATTATGCTGTCGTTTTTGTTGTGTCTATTCAGCTCAGCACTGCAGAGCTGCTGTGCCTTTTTTTGCAGTTTATGGTAGATTTTTTCCTTTCCTTTGTTCAGCATCACTTAACGCTGTTTAAATGGCACGGGGTCAAAAGAGAATGCTAATTAGTGTGTGCTCCAAATTTCGGGTTGAAACCTTGATCACAGTTTCAATAGTCACTTTCCAGATTTGTTTGATGTTTTGCAATACTCTCTTGGAGATTTTTTTCAAGATCCTCTCATCAAATTCATAAATGAAGGGGAGAAATTGAGTAACTTTCTCATTACCCACCAGTGGCTGAAGAGTCGTCCATATCTTGATGACTTGCTCCTTTGCTTTTTGGTAAACCACTGGCAGCTGCATGATCTGGAGATCGATGTTTTCACCAAGGCCTCTCTTGGACAGCTCCTGTGTTTACAAAAAAGCCACCACAGACTTGAAAAAGCACTGGATTTCTGACTGTGATAAAGAAATTGGGGTGATTCAGCTGAGAAAACACCTGAAGGAGCAATGCCTAAGCATTCCCTCTTTTATAGCTGGAAGAGACTAAAATGTGCTGAACAGTTCCCTAATGTCACGACCACGTGGAGCTGTTGTGTTTTCCAAAGGGATGCCGAGTCTCCAGTGGGTGGGAGTGGTCCTTGGGGAACCATGAGATGATGTCTCTCAGAGAAAGATCCAGGCTTGAAAGCACCTAAACAGGCTTTGCTACAGGTAAGAGCTGTTGTTCCTCTGAAAGATCTGAACTGTCCAGAGACAAAACCAATGTCAAAGGAATAAAGGTACCCTTCAAAGCAGCAGGTTGGCCAGGTGGTTGGAAGATGGTCTGGAGAAGAAATGTCATGTGGACATGATTTTGTCAGTGGAACAGGGCTAACAAGCAAGGCGTAAGCCTCTTAAGTAGAAGGTAGGCAGCTGCAATGGCAGGATGCAGAAGGAATGCATCTGAAGTGGAAAGCTTTGTCCCAGAAAAGTAAAATGGTGGTTGAAAATCCCTGCTCCATTTGAGTAGACCACTGCCAAGGGATCTCAGGGGGGCACAGGCAAACAGCAGCAGAGGTGTCTGATTAGCCCAAGAAACCTGTAGCTGTATTAAATGTCATTGTCTTCTCGAGTTTTCATTTCTCACTCAGGACTCCCCTGTGGATGAGGCCCACAGTTCTGGGAAATTTGCCCTTCAACACTCGCTTCCTATATAAAGTGTTCCAATTTTCTTGTCAGCGGAAGCATTGATTAGCTGTGCTCAATAAACTATTTGACACAAGCAAGGAAACAATGCCTGCAGGGAAGTAAACACATTTGGAGAACAGTGCCAGCCTTTTTTCCTCTGGGCACTGACAGTCTTTGAGAGACCATTGCATCATCTCGCTGAAGAATGCTGTACTGTGCCTGAGCCTCCAAAAAAGAAAACTCCAGCTGGTTCATGATTAGCATTTTCTTTTCTAAAGCATCTTTTTTTTCATTTAATGAGACTCTTTCTTTTTAACTGTAAGGCCTAGAGAACTCAACTACCCCTAATTTTGGTTCAGAATGTGGAGACCCAAAGTGAGCTGTAAAGTTGTTCTCCTCTTGTGCTCTCCGTTGACAGATATTCTTTTGTCAACATTCGTCATGGCAGAAACACTTTTGTGCAGGACAAAACTGAAGCTACCCGATAACAAAAAGGTGAGAATTTGTGTCAAAGGAAGATGGTTTTCTATGCCCTAAGCAATTTCAGCACGTTGTCAATAACATGCGTTACTGTGTTGTCTAAGAATCCCAACCATGGGCTTATACCCCCTTAGACCAGATGTTGTGCAAACATGGAACAAAATAAACAAGGTTGTTCCTTGTCTCAGCCTCAACCAGAACCATTTTTGCATGTAAGGTGAGACTGAGGATGGTTAGAGGAGGATAACTGCACCTGGAAACTTGAGCTCACACTGGTGAGTGAATTCAGTAAACAAGTGCCTGTCCAGTGTAGTTGAAACAGCAAAGGAAACTTCAAAGGAGGAGAAAAGTTTTGGAGGACTGTTTTGTGGGAAAAGTGGTTCAAAAGAAAACATGAAGATTCTTTATTGGGAAGTTCTTGGAGGGAAATGAAGTCCAGCATTACCAGCTGCTGACGTGGAGCTGTTGGTGAGTTGTGGTCTCAGTCCCAGTTGTCACACAGCCCTCCCCAAAGAGGAGGGATTTGTAAGCTCTGTGCTCAGAGGTGGTGGCTGTGCCCCACAGGGTGTTGGAAGCATCTTGAACTTCTGGAAAACTCCAGAAAATTACACAGAGTTTGCCTGAGTTCTCCCTGATTTGGGCTGCCAGGAAGGGGGTCATGTGTTGATTTTGTGAATCACTTGTGTTGGTGCAGAAAGGGAACCAGAAGTTTTCAGCTGCTCCTGTCAGAATGCAAGTGCATTGCAAACAAAGGTGTTAGGTTTGTTTGGTTAGTGGGTTTTTGTTTAGGTGTCTGCTTTGGGGTGTGGTTTTCCCCCTCCCCTAATTGTGCAGATACCTTTGTAAAGCTTTAGGGATCTAAGAAAATTCCAGAACAGAAATGATGGCACTGAATAGCAATGTCTTCTTAGTTTCACAGATGATGAAACTGAAGCAGAGAAGGAGAGAGGCAGATTAAATGACAAATTTCCAAAGACCACATGGTCAGTGGCAGGATGAAAAACTGCGCTGGGAGATCTGATCCTCATCTCCCGATGGCAGACATAGTTCCCAGAAGCAGTTGGAAATGTGACCTGTTCTTTGCACTAACAGTTTAATTACTGTGAATGTTGTCACTCACATTTGTGCCCTATTAAGTGGGGACTTTGACCTTGATGGGTGGACTGCCCTGATAGGTTATTTTGCTGCCAAGCTGCAGACAGGACTTTCTGGAGGAGATACAGAAACAAGGTCAGATCAAGGGTTATTAGGTGGGACCATCAGTCTGGAATATGGAATCAACAATTCATGGGATCTGGGATCCTGAGAGCCCCACGTGGTGCTGCAGAACTAACACATCCTGGTAACTCAAGTGTGATCTGTCAGCAAAAGCAGAGCAGATACCTGGTGGTGTTCTCCTTTAGCAAGAATATCCTGCACTTAGGGAGGAGCTGGTAACAGGGATTTTAAGGAAGCAGTTGTGTGTAAGCACAAGTACTGCTCACAGAAGGGAAGCCATTGCTCTTTGGCAAAGAATCCATTTCGAAAAGCATGGAGGGTGAGGTTATGCTTTGGAATCAGGACACTGGAACTGTTAAATGTATTTTTACAGGATTTCGGATGCTTTTGGTATGAGGATCCTTCTGGGATGTGAACTTTGGAGGTTGCATGCATCAGCATTTCAACATCACCAAGGCTGCCGTGGTATCCAGGCTTTCCATAAGGCATCCAGGCTTTTGATAAGCACCCCCTTTACATTGGGCTAATAATTAGGATAGTTCTGGATAATGCTACAAAGGCATGAAGCATAACCCTGAGCAGTCACGCCTGTAGCCCTGGTCTGGCTGCTCAGCACGTTCCTGAGGAGGAATCTGAGTGCACACTTGTTGGTTCACAGTAAAGGGACTCAGCAGGAGGGTTTTATGTCACTCCAGTGATCCATGCAGGCACCCCAAGCCAAGACAGGATTACTTCCAGATGTAAATTCTAAATGTTGCTATCTTTAATATATGTGCATAAGCTTCCTGAAGACCACAGGGTGAATAAGGCCAATGGAACAATACCATGAGATTGCTATTTAGCGTGGAGAAGCCTATCAAAATTCGAAGTACTTCCAGATTTGCAGCAAATTTCTCTGAATTGCCTGAATTAACCACCTTTGCCAGGGCATAGGAAACCAAAGTAGCATCCCCAGTCTGAATACAAATTAATTCCACACAGAGGGTGTCACATCAGGGGGAAATGGATTTGTTCTGCTCCATACACAAGGACTGACATCTGTTTGGTTATGGAATGCTGTAGCCCCTGTTATGTAAGTCCCTGCTGTAGCCAGCTCGTGGCATTGGTACAGGAGACTCATCCCATCGGTGCCTTCTCGCTCTGGGCCGTTTTGCTTGCAGATAAAGAACGTGCTTTATTTTCAGCCAGAAGGGGATGATCTTCCACCCAAAATTAGAACCAATAGGAATCGGGAAATAATGAGCGAGAACACTGTCAACTGACAAATATTTGTGGTTTAAGGCACATGTCAGGTTGGAGTTAAGATAATTTATGGGCCTCCTGTAATGACTGGGGTGTGGAGAGGTATCACAGAAGAATTTTTGTTTCCTGTTAGCCTACAGGGATAACATCCCTCATGACTTGGAGGGGGCAATAGATTTATTCTACCAAACACCAAGATGCACTCAGCATTCTTCACCCAACAAAGCTGGAATAGAGAATGTGTATGTGTTGGTGGAGTTGCTATAGCTTTGGTCTTTGGAAAAATGCACCAGCTCCCTGTTTTTCAGTCATCTTGGCTGGAGAGCATTTCATTTTCAAATCAAATTGTCAGTAGCTGTCACCAAAATTTGTACTGTGGTTATAGTCCTGTAGGGCCATTGCCTCTCTGTCACTACTAATACTTCCCTACAGCTGCCTTTTTCCTTTCAGTGTCCATAAGAATTTAGAAATGTATGGACTTATTTCAGTCTTCATAAAAGAACACAGTCCCCTCAGTTTGTTTTACGTGTCTTGCTTTCCATTTTTTACCAGTATTATCTGTTATTTCTTGGACCAAAGCTCCAATTCAATTTTACTACTTTGACTGTTCCTTTTTGACTGGGATTGCTAAAAACTTGTGTGAAAGACCCTCTCAAAATAACTCTGTTCTTAAGTACCTTATCAGAGTAACTGAACTCAAAGAAAGGTTTTGTCTGTGACAGGGAGAATGACTCAGCTGATGCTGAAAGCCAGGTATCCAAACCATGTCTTTTTATCTCCCAGATAAATTTGCTCTAATACACAGATTTAGGAAATAAGCAGGAATTTTTAAGGCTCCCCCACAGACTTGTTCCTGTTAGTCCAGGTGTATGGAGGAGGACAAAAATCTGAATTACCTTGTTTTCAATTTAACTGTAGACTTCACTGTCATTTGAAAGTGGAAGCCAAAGCTGAAACGTGAAAACATGCTTAGAATTGGCACAGATTTTTGTGTTCCTGAAGCAGGCAGTCAGAACTCATAAGCTGCACTTGTATGAGAAGGAAAACACCTCACACAGACATGATAAAATGATCCATGGTGTGAGATGATCTATTTACTGCAGACAGAGATAACTTGTGCAATATGCATTAGTTGAAGAGAAGGCACCCTGGGTGAAAAATACTTTTTTTTTTAAGAATCAAGAATAATATTTTGAAAGTGCTTAAATAGCACAAAAAATATCAAGCAAATAAAATAATATTTCACTTTTTCATTATCCTCTTTCTTCCATGTTGGGAGTCTGCTCCGTGAGGCACAATTCTGTTTAATGAGCCATGAGAAATAACTTTTTTGAAGGGAATGGAAAGCCTAAAAGCAGTTTGTGTTGGGATCTCTACAAAATAAAATGTCTTCCTCCTTCTTTTCCCCTTTTTTATTATGCTTACCTTCACTGCTTCCCAGCTGGAATTCACCAGGTATTGTCTGAAGGGACCAAAACCTGAAAATGAAAAGAAAGAAAGGTGCTTTTAACCTGTGCTTGCTCTGCAACTGCAGATTAGGGGCTGACTTGCCTACACCTACATATTTGTTCTTCATATTTTTGGTTATGGAGGATGGCTTTTTCAGGTAGGATTTGGCCTTTATAACACTTAAGGGAATAGTATATTTTCATTCTGTGTGTTCACTGATAAAAGAACTAATCCTGCAATCTTCATTCATGTCAAGGCTTTCTGGTGAGAGAGCCTTGAGTGAAGCTGGTAAATGTACTGGAACCAATAGGACAGATCAAGTAAATGATGATTTTGGGCAAGGATCATCATCCCCAAAAACACCACTGCTAAAGGTTCTGGGGTTAAATACTCCCAGGTCACAGTTAATGTATCATTCTTACTGTTAGAGCTCATGAAGATAGGCATATTTAATGAAAATGTTTGAAAGAGTAAAATTTTATTTAATCTGTAATTTTGTTTTCATCCCAGGTAATGAAAACTTGAAAGTTTTCTGTCTCTTTCTCCACTTTTTACCCAGAGGTAAAAGAGAGGCAAAAAGAGAAAAGCACACTTTGAATCCAAAGTATTACATTCAATTTTATGCATCTTTTTTGTGAAAATCTTTTTTTTTTTTCAATAAAAGAGAAATACTCATTTTGAGCAGATGGCATTTTTGTCATTAAAAAGTTTGATGGAAAACTCCCACTATTAATCTCAATTAATATTCTCAATCCAGAGTGCTGCCAAGTCTTAGATATTGGGTGGCAGGAACAGGAGTTTGTGAAATGGTTTTATGCTATAACTCCTAATTATTTAAAAATCCTTAAATGGACAAATAAATACTTGACAGCATATGATTGCTATTTTGCACAGTGAAAGCTACTTGCACTGGAGACAATTAAGCCTAAATGCAGGCTTGTGACAGCTTAATTAGTGCTAGACTTTAGCATTTCTTAATTTGTTAATGCTTATTTCATAACTGCTCCATCTTTTCTCTTTAGTATTTTGAAAAGCTTGATGGTGCCAGTATTTCTGACAATGTTTTCTCCAGGTTTGAGTTTCTACCATGGGGAGGGAAGAAGGAAAATGGTGCTCATTTTACATTATCAGGGGAACATAAAACCCCACTGGTCCCACTCTGCTTTGGGAGCAAGATTAGGGTGACACCTGCTCCACTTTGGAGCTGTGGTTGTTGTGCATGCTTCTGTACCTGTGTGTGCAGAACTACAGAATTATAATAAAGTTATTAATCAGCTCCCATTGAAACACGTGTGTGTGTCAGTGGTGGCCGTAAGAAACTCGTGCCTAGGACAAAACTGTTCCATGAAAAATGACTAACTGTAGGAGTTTTACTGAAATACCTGCAGCGATGGGGAGAGCTAACTGGGTGAATGTTACTGAGCACCATATAATAAACTGGGCTCCCTGCCAGCAGGTTCATATTCCGAGCAGGTGAAAACGTGACAGAGACATGCTGTGATAATCTCTGCAGCAGCTTAAAGATGCACTCGGGTCTTTAACGGGGCACACCGGTCTCAAACTTCTTGAACAAGTGGATTTCTGCACATAAATGGTGATCTAAGGGGAGGAAAAATCTAAGAGGGTGCTAAGCAGTGTTCCTAACAAGGGTATGTGCCATAAATATCATAGGAGAGAACCAGACTGTCAGCCTTTTAAGAGGTTAGCAAATACCTCCTGCCCTCTCCTGCACTCCCTCCAGCTCAGCTGCAGTTATGTCTGGAGCAAGCCAGACTAGTTCTGCCCATCTTGCAGCTATTAAAAAAAAAAAAAAAAAAAAGTGTTTAATTGAAAACAGCAAGATGCAAATCTCTTTGATGTAGCTTCAACCTCATTCCTATGTCCTCAGATGACCTGCAGTGGAAAATTATCCAGCAACTCACATGTCAAGATATGTGTAATGATTGCCTTTAGATGAGCCAGTGGCAACAAGAGGAACAGCGAGGAGCAGCATTCCTTAAGAGCTTTAACCTTTTAAAGCTCATGACTCTCTAGCTGGGGGTTCTGCCACTGTGCAGCCTCAGTAGCTACAGCCAGCAAGAGAAACTCCAAATTTGGTCCCTTGTGCTGCATGTTCAGGCATGTTCCTCTGGTATATTTAAATTTAATGGTCCAGTTTAGCAATGATGAGGCAGCATCTCCTGTTTAAACTCCCTTACCTTGCCATGAAACTGAGCCCCTGAGACTTGCCATGTGCTGCTCTAATTCTGGACACTGACTATGTGACATTGTGATGCAACCTGGTTTTCTTGCTTCAGAGCTTCTTTTGGGTAAGCTTTATCTAATCCTAGCCTGCACTGCCTTGAGCTATGTGGTTTGGATCAGAGAGAATGTCAACAAAGATTAAAACATGGAGAGAATGAACAACAAACCAAACTGGATGGCAGCAAAGAGGGCAGACTGCAGTCTGTTTCCTCTGACATGCATCTGATTTTTCTTAGGAAGGCACAGTAAGTTATTTTCCATTTAGAAATGTTAGTATGACCATTTGCTACTGTTTTTCCCTCCAGGAAACTGTTTATGACAAAGACCAAGCATGCGTGGACACCATCTCCAGCTCAAAGAGCAAAATAAAAACCTCACCAGTTACCACCACAGTGTTGGAATTTGAATCCATGAAATCTCTCCTCCAGAAGGTGAAATCCTGTTGTCTTTCAGTTCCAAACAGTGTTATAATTCAGGTATCTGTGGTTAACTTCATTTAGAGCACCTTTTTTCTTCCAGCTGTGATGAGTGTGGATTCACATGACAGGGATGATTGGTGACTCATGTAGCTTTTAAAGCAAAAATTATTACGTCTCTATTAAAGATAGAAGTCTGGCTGACCAGCTGTCTGACTGGGACTGCCCCAAACTTCTTTTCCTTTCTCCAGGCATGTAATAGTATTTAGGAAGAACAGGAAAGGCTTAGAGAAACTTCTTGAAAAATATCCAGCAACATTTTTCACCACCTGTTTATGTGCAAGTAAACAGAAAATTAATTGAATCAGTTTTATTATACCTCTGTGAGTATCAGCTGTAATTCACTTTAATTGTCAGGAGTGACTTAACTACAAAAACTTATCTTGTCCATTTTTCCTGTTCTTAGACTTTCTCTTACCAACTTAAACTCAGGGCTAACTTTGTTGTTCCTCTTCATAGCAGTTATCTAATTTACTGCTCCTGATTCCTATCTCAGGCTTGTTATAAAGGAGACAAAGCACTGTACACTTTTCAAACCAAACACCATTAGGAAAATGTGTGTATTTGCTAAACCAAAACATTTACTCAGTAATATCCTTTAACAGGCAACATGTTAAAAAATCTCACTCCAACTTGCAAGGTCAGAGGAACTCTAGAAGCTGGGTTGTATCTTGCTGAAACTGGTGAGTTTAAGAGCTGGTCTATCTGCATTAAACTGGAGCCTGAGAACCAATTGGGGGGGGGGGGCTGAAATCAAAACATATGCACATTGTCACTGCCCAAAACAAAAGCATATGCAAGTTCTCTTGGGAATTATAACTATGTGGGCAGAGGGTTTCACTGGGTCTTGTTTTGAGTAGGAAGTGTGTGTGTGTGTGTGTGTGTGTGTGTGTGAGAGAGAGAGAGGGAGGGAGAGAGAAATATTCTAAGAATAGAAAGCCACTATATCATCTCAAGAGAGCTGGTAATTGTGAGACCTTAGGGAAAAAAAGTCTTTGAAGAAATCTCTGGGGTTGGGTGTGGCTGAATGAGGTTTGGAGCCACGACCTGTGTCTGTCATTTAAATCCTCCTGTGCTGAGACACAAAGAGATTTGTGGATTCTCTTTATTTCAGAGGTTCTCTGATTCCATCATCCCTTTCTTCCGCTGGCTAGTACAACTTGCAAAATTAACTTCTGCTCACTGTTGGGGCTGAAGGAGTAGCTAATGCAGGAAACAGAGCTCTCTGCAGCTCTAAATAAGACAAAATCTGCCACTGGCAGCAGTGAATTACACCGAAAATCCCACAGTCCTTCATACTCCTATGTCAATCAAGATTCTTATCAATTAATTTTTCTCCTTGACCAGTCAGTAAAACTCTCCCTATGACACTGAATAGGGCAATGAGTCTTCTCATAATTATTTCTGATTTCTGCTATTTTTTAAAAAAACAATCTAATTACAGGGTGGTCTAGTGAACAAAGCATTTCTAAGGAAGACAGCAAGATTTAAGGTCTATAGTTGCCTAATTTCCTCAACGAGAAACTGTGTTTTCTTTGGGACATTAGAGCTGCTTTATACACACATACACATATATATATGAAAGGTATTGCTTGAATGCTGTAAAATATTAGGTATTTCATTAGATATTCTTCCAGAGGGTAGATGTAAGTCTATTAGTTCCATGCACTCTGAAACAACTGATATGATCTGTTTGGAATGTAGTGCTAGTGTTCAAAGTTTTTACAGCTGGCAGAAGGGAGTAGAAAAAAATACAGAGCAACAAAGATTATTTCACCAAGCCTTTATGAAGAAGCTGACAGAAGTATTTTTGGGGAAAGTGTTGTCTTCAATAGTCAAGTTAGTCCCTTTCTATAAGCAGAAGTTTGCTGATCTGGTAGGAAAGATTCCAAGACATTTCCAGTGTTGGTATATATTTGTGCAAATGTGGGAGGAATGCCAGTGGTTGAAATGATTTGACAGAATTACTGAATTTGACAGAGCACACCAAAGTTAATTTTTGCACTGATTTAGTTGACTGCATGTGCTCCCAAGCTTTGTGTGCATGTGCTTTGTGTACTTGGAGTGCCTCATAGTTCAAAAAAGAATTAAAAAATTCGGGTTAGGCCTTGGCTTTACTCAGAATTTTATTCAGAAATTAAACCTTTTCTTTCCTCTAACATTTCTTCAGCTGAAGTCGAAGCTACTCTGGAAATTTCTGTTCAAGTATGATTGTAGCTTTAAAATTAGTACTCCCATGTGTGTATGTGCCTACAACAATGGATTTGAGGGTCACTGGATATTTGAGGTCTGTGCAAATTAATCTCCCCATCCATAATTAAGAATCCAAGCCCTTGATATTTGAAGGCAAGTCAGATGCAGCTGACTCAGCTGAACACTGGTTGTTTTTGTTCTTGCTACACACAGATGTGATTGGCATGGCCTTCATCCTGAGGTAAAGAAATGGAACCAACTCAACTATGAAAGTCCTGTTTATCACCTTGAATATTTTTCTGTACACTTGTCTGATACATTTTAAACTTATTTGAACTGCTGAGTAAGAGAAAAATATTCTTTTCTGCAAATGCATTCTGACCACACTGCAGAACTGCCAGCACACTGCTCCAGTAGCTTTTTAGTAGATGGTAACAAGAACAGAATATGGCCCTTCATTTAGAAACAGCTCTTTAATTTTTATCTCTTTTATTATTACTTACATGTAGGTTTTTTATTTCTTGTTATTGGCAGGCGCTGACCAGTGATTTAAACTGTTAAGTGGAAGTGTTTAATATATTCCAGTTTTTATCTCAGCTGTTCAACGCTTAATGAGAGGAGGAAGAAATCAAGCTGTTATGCTATTTAACACTAAACTATAATGGGACTTGAAACAGAAATTTCAGGATCTAACACTCTATATTTCTTTTCCATTCTAATAAAAATAAATGACCCTCAGGAAAGACTGAAGCAGGTCTCCAGGTAGATGGAATGCAACGTCACAAAAAGAGAAGAGACAAACATTTCACTGTAAGGCTCACTGTTCCTTGTGGACAGGGGCCTCTTCTATAACAAAATCTGTAGAAATAGTAAATGGAAAAACATATTTGCAATTTCAATTATTCCCCCCCCCCATAGAATTATAGAATGCTTTGGCTTGGAAGGGATCCTAAAGATCACGTAGTGTCAAGTCCCCTGCCATGGGCAGGGACATCTTCCACTATCCCAGGTTGCTCCAAATCCCCTCCAGCCTGACCTTGAACACTTCCAGGGATGGAGCATTCAGTTTCTCTGGGCAATCTGTGCCAGTGTCTGTTTTTTGATAGGAAGTGTTATATATTTTATGTCACTGCCTTGTTTGTATTAATTCTTCTGTTTTTGAAGATACTGGTCTATACCCAGTGCTCAGCAATAATGGAAAAAAATTGCCACTGTACATAAGTTAAATGTAGCCAAGCTGTTGTGTGGCTGTTGCAATTTCAGTTCTGGTCTTCCTGCAGTATTAGCAAGAATTTATGGCTGTGTATGGACAGGTTTTTCAACTTTATTTTTGTTTATTTATAATAGGGAGAAAGTACTTTAGCAGGAGAACATGCAACTCATCATCAACAGGTTGCTTTTGTTCAGGTGTCAATTACCAGCACAAAGAGACTCTGCAAGCAGAATACACACAATTGAAGTAATTATTTATCAGCTGTAATGCAAAATAGCATAGCCAGGACTAAGAGTTTACTAGGTTGAACAGTAATATGCTTACCACTCCTGATAAGAAAACTGATGAGTTTTAGCTGGCTAGGAAGTTTTCAGTATGCTGGGGAAAGTTAGTCTCTTAACTTTTATTGGTATGAGCTCATCCTCACTGTTACTGAGTTATCATCGTGTTTTCTGCTTTTTTTTTTCCTTTTTCTTTCTGTATCTTTTCACTTGCACCTTTTACCAGCTAAACATTGTCATCCCACAAACAGCACTTCTGTGACTTCAGCTTAATTTCATGGCTTTAGCTCATGTACTTTCCGATTTTCCTCAGTAAAACTCACACAGGGTGACAGAGCAATGCTGCATCAAACTAGACCTTGGACCACGGCACGGCCAAACCTCCGGGCTGCGTGTGGAAGGCACGACGGATCATCACAATGTGATGAAATCCACTGAGGCTCTGTAAGGTGTGGTGATGTGACATCAGTGGATGGGCTGAGATCGCTTCGTCCTGTTGAGGAAAGAAAACATAAATTTGCTTCGCTATATGTTTTAAGCCATTTGAAAAGAGAACAATGTTAAGGAGTTTTTGGTCACTGTTCTGATGGGCAATGAAGCACCTGACTGATGTGCAGCACTCGAGATGCTTCTTTGGGACTTTGACTCAAGGTCACAGTGTACCTTGGTGGTGTAAGTGCAAAGGTGAGTTTGTTTCTTTGCAAGCATGTTGTTATTCCCATGCACTTTTCACTTCTTTGATACCTGTATCTGTTATTTTAAAAATAATTAAATGCTTGCACAGTGTGGGTAGGAAGGCTTCCCTGAGTCACCACCTGAATTCTACTTTTAATTTTGACAGCTGTGTGTTCATTTTGGCTCCCGTGCCTCGGTTTAATGGTTTGTGGTAATGAACAGCAGGCTGCTTGCCTAGGTCTTCCAAAATCCTTTTCCTGATTGACAACAGTCACTGCAGAATGCTATAAAAATGTAGTTTTTAACCATATTTTCCCTCATAAACTTTCTGCCTGTCTTCCCTCCCCCCCCCTCAGGTTAACAGAAACTGTCGCTAGCTCTGTGTCTTGTCTTTCTGTGCCTTTTAAATAGATAACGTGTGATTTGTATTGGGAGTTTTTGTTAAAAGTTCAGCCGCAGCGCTGGGCTGGCCCTCGCCCAGGGCCCTGCCTCGATGGCGGGGGCTTGAGGGCATTCCCTCCGCCCCCGGCCGGGCTCTCCAGGAACGCCGCCAGGCCGTTCCTCGCCTCCGTTCTTCGCTCCCAAAGCCGTCACCCCCGTCCTTCGCTCCCAAAGCCGTCACCCCCGTCCTTCGCTCCCAAAACCGCTACCCCCGCCCTTCGGTCCCAGAGCCGTCACCCCCGTCCTTCGGTCCCACAGCAGCCATCCCACCGCCCACCCCCGCCCCGCCCTCAGGGCTGCCCCGCGCCCGCCCTCAGGAAGTGATGGCGGCTGAGGGAGGAGGAAGAGCCGCCGCGGGTAAGAGGGAGGGGGCGGCTGGGGCCCCGCCACCGGGGTGGCCGCGGGCGGCTGCGACGCCGCGGAATACTCGGGTAATTCCAGGGAATCTCTGCCTGCGGCCGTGCCCGGGCGAGCCCCACGCCTCCATGAGGGAGGTGGGACAGCCCGACCCCCTGCGCGCAGGGGCAGGCACTGCAGGGGTTTTTTCCCCCCCTCACTTTTCCCAGCCGTACAGGTAACTTTTCCAGGTTTTCGGCTAGTCCTGGAGCAGAGAGGACTGTGCCGAGGATTCCCGTCCGCTGTGGTTCGGCGGGCGATGCCGCGAGAGGCTCATCCCCGAACTCCTGAGTGTGCAGGGTGCGCTCGGGGGTCTCAGCGCAGGTGGTCGAGTTTAAGGCTTTAATAACTCAGAGCTTGGGAACTGCTAAAAAGCAGTGGGAATACGGTGTAAAAATACCGGTTTTTTAAGGCCAAATCTCATGCACCACCGGCGGTTGTTTACTCAAACTGAGCAAACCCACGGTTTAACAAAAGCAGCATGGTTTGACAGGGACAAAGGGGCAGTAAACACGTTGGTTTTCGACCATGCGAACGTAAATAGTGGGACTGTTTTGGTGTAGAGATACAAAAGGCTTTGTATACTGTAAAATATTAATATACATTATACAAAGTATATAATACCCTTTCTTTAAAAAGTAAAACCTTTTTTTGCTGTTGGTGAGCTGACGGCAGAACAAGAAGTACATGAAAACTGATATGTTTTTTGAAAAAAGCCACTCTCCCCTCATCTCCTCATATAACTAGGAGAAGTTAGTTTGCTGGTGTTTCTGGCAATGGGCAAAGAGCTGCTCAGCCCTTCAGTACCTGCTGGGCTTGCACTGGTTTGAGATGAACAGATGTTACATCAGTTCCCAAATGGCTCTGCTCCCAGCGCCTGGTAAGGGACCTGATTTTAGGACAGGTGGATCTTCTGCACATGCTCCACTGTGGATTTCCAAAGGAGTCTGGCGTGTGCAGTGTTCTGGGTTTATATTTGACTAGGAGGACTTCCAAGAATCTCTGTTCATGCACTTGTTTGGATAAGGGCCCGTTGCATCACCTCAGTTAGCTTTTGCACTGCTTTGCCTCCTGCTCTGTTTTTATACTCCTCTTTCTTAATTTGTCACGCCAGCAGGTAAATGGAGAGAAAGTGAATTTATCTTCTGAAACACATTTTAAGTTGCTGCCATTTGTCTAAAGCACCTACTTCATCCCCTTCAGTAAAATAATGATGTTGTTCATTAGTTCCTCTTGCTGCTCATGGCTAAATGCGCCTCAGTCAGATTGCTCTATTTTTTCCCTCCTATCAACCACTTACGGAAGTCAAACATTTGTAATAATGCTATTTTTTTTTCTTTGGAAGGCTCTCAATTCTACTGATGTTTTAAAATAAAACAGATGAATGGGATTTGGTTTTTCATGTCCAAGGAAACATTGTACTGCTGGGCACTTCAGTCTGCATTTTTGCCTGACTTTTTCATTACTCTCGAATGCTTAGAATAGTTGTTCTTCCATCCCCTTCCTCTTTTGGGATGTTGTTTCTAAGTATTGCCTGAGTTTTGGTATAGTTATTTGGTTGGATATACCTTTGTTTAAAATAATAATAAACAAGTTGAGTGTACAGCAGGCATTAAGAGTGTGTTGGAGTCAACCATTAGGTCTTGTGCAAATGATGCTTTTCAGTTCACGTTGTGCAATATTTGAGATGCTGCAGCTCAGTCCTGAGGGCTGTTTCTGTAACCATTTTTAACAGGGAAAGGTTGTTTACACTTCCAGGTTTTTAAGCTCCCTTGTAAGTCCTAGGCAGACCTTGCTGTTGAGAAGCAGGGCAGCTGTTGACCTAGAACCTGAGGTTCTTCTTTTAAATTCAGACTTCTCACACATTCTTTTTGATTTCAGAACATTTTAGAAGTCAGATTTGTTTGTGTTTAGCCATCCAACAGGAAGGACATTCAGTGAGTAACCACGTATGTACACCTCTGGAGCCTGAGAAATAGTTACTAGATGAGAAACCTGTACATCTAGTTTAGCAATTGCATTAATGAAGCCTTGAATTTCCATCTGTCTCTTGAGGAAGATGGAAATCTCCCTGCCCTCCATGAAATCCATGTTAATCAGTTTATAGGCAGGAGGTCAACAGCCTGCAAAGATGGAACCACAGAATTCAGGTGTTGTATAGGCACTGTCATAAATGTGGTCTCTGCATCTAGAAAAGCTACTCAAAGCTCTAAGATGAGACTGATGAACAACCATAGTGGAACTGAAATGTCATGGATGGAACAGGCAGAATTTTATTCAGACTGAGGAGTGTGTGTATGTAAGAGGTAAGGGCTGTCATAACATTGCCACAGGTAAAGCAAGTTACTGAAACCTTGCTTTCTTTAACACAAATACGTAGTTATGGTCTGGAAAGAAAAGAAGTCAGGAAACAAAATCCTAAATACTTCCCTCAAAGAGAAAAAAATACAGTCCAGAACCCAGCAAACAAACCAGAGCCCTTTCTCCGTAATAGCATTTCAGAGTGAATACACTCCTTCCCTTGAGGGGAAAGTTTGGGAAAACAAACAGCACAAGGGAAAGTCTAGCCGGTTTCAATTTGCAAGTGGGAGGTGTGCAGGCATCCTGGTTGTGAGCATGCTACAAGAACCTACGTGAACAGGCTGGTGCGCCTTTTCCACATCGTGAAAAGGTTGCATTCTGAGAGACTTCCAACCCCTTTGCAAGCCGCTGTTCTGGAACGTTGTCTTTGCAGGAACGATTGGCAGACCCTCAGGTCCCACGTGTCTGTAGCAAACAGCGTCCTGCTCGCTTAGAAATGTCGTGTTTGTAACCTTTGAAACTGCTGTCTGGTGGCTGGTCTTTGTGGCATTACTGACAACAGATGGCAAATGGCTCCGCTGATGTAATTCTCGCTGCTGCTTCGTTCCTGTGAAGTTGCACGGTTCCAGAATCTCGGGAAGGGCCTCCATGTTTTTTTTTCCCCCGCGTAATGATTCCAGGCCAGAGGAAATCAAAACATTTTCTATTATTCAGATTCCCATGGTGTCATGTGACGTTTGGGTAACGACTGCCTTGCAGCAGTTTCAGATAAGTGCGCGTTTGGTAGCAATTTAAGGCCTGTGTCCTTTAAGTAATGCTTATTAGTATGTAACAGATGCCGTTTAGAAACATTATGCCTTTTAATAGGCTCTGCTTTTAGCCTACATGTTCCCATTCCAGGCAGACTGTGGATCAGGCAGGCTTGGAGGTATGCTGTCGTTTATGCAAAGCCTAAGTCAATTTTCTGCTCTGAAGTCGAGCCATGTGTTTTTCCTTGTTTCTCCCATTCTGGTCATAGCTGCCTTGCTGTGTTTTTTCCCCCCTAGTCATATCTTTGGCTTATTTTCAAGCCATTGCAATCAAAACCTTTTGCATTTTTAACCACCAGCAGTGGTTTCTTTTGTCCTTACAGAAGAGCCCGTGTAAAGTGAATTTGAACACTCACAGCCTCGCTGTCAAGAGCACAGAGTTATCCCCCTGTTGCCAGCCTGTCCTTCCTGCTCTGCTTTTTCCTCCTCCCAAAAGGAGAAAAAGGGAAAAGCAGAGCCATGCTGATTTTGGAGCACCTTCAAAGCCATGTAGAATAGCTGACACAATGGCACAGAGAGGCAGGAGAGATGTTTACACATTTACTCCACTACTTGCAGCTGTTTAATAAAGCAAGTTCTGAGACAGCCTTGTGATAGCTGGTGCAGGTGACATATCAATTTCCAGCCACATAATAAATTCAGCAAAGTTGGAATTGCTGGGGGAAGGGATTTTTTTGTTTGTTTCTTTCTTTCTTTCATTTTTTTCCCCCCCTCAAAATAATTGCTTTATTTTGAGATTATTCTGGCTGGACAAATTGCTCCTTGCAAGTAATTTGGAGAAAGGTTGCTGGGCTTTCTTAGGCAGACTTGTACTCTCTGCTGGTGGGAGCAGTAGGCCTGTCAGATGTAAAGCACTTGCAACTCAAAATGATGTGGTTATTTGAAGCTGGTATCTCTGAAAATCTAGACAGCTGTTTCATATTTTCATTAATGCTTTGTTTTTTTGGGGAATGTTGTCCTTTCTGGTAGCAGAGCTTTCGGGTGCTCCTGGTGTGCCACACACTGCTGTAGTTTGTGTGGTGTCACCTTGGGTTTCTCACACCTGCTTTGAGCGGTGCTAGTAACAGGAAGATGGCTTTTATGTGGTACTTAAATTGGAGCCCTGGTGCCAGGTTGTGACAGTGGGTGTTTCAGTAATAATTTTAAATTATTAAAATGCAGCCGTTTTCTGAAACCGTCCTGTCAGTCTGTCTGGCTTCTCCCCATGGGATGAAATCATCCTTGTGCTAGACCATTTGCCAGACTCAGTTGTCATTTCCTGCCATTTCACTATTCCTTGTTTATGACTATGGGAGCCATTGTGCTCCTCTTTTCCCTTAAGTTACAGGATGACTTTTGACCAGTGCATCCTCCTCTCCATCTTCCATCTTTGGAAAGGATTGAATTGCCATTGTTTACATTTGAACTTGAGATTCACAAAAGCTCCGCTGCTCTTCACAAAATCTTTGCTGTCGTTTTCCTTTCAAATCAGCCTCTTTCCAGCTGTTCTGGAAAACTTGTGTACTTTTCTTGTGTATTTTATTTTGTTTAGGAGATAGACAAATAATTAAGTTGACAAATTTAGATTTTTTTTTTTTTTTGCTTACCTGTGCAAGAGAAGACAAGTTTGGAACAGGTTGCCCAGAGCAGCTGTGGCTGCCCCATCCCTAGAAGTGTCCAAGACCAGGTTGGACACGGCTTGGAGCAACCTGGGATAGTGGAAGGTGTCCCTGCCCACGGCAGGGAGGTGGAATGAGATGGTCTTTAAAGGTCCCTTCCGACCCAAACCATCCCTTGATTCCAAAAATCCATATCTCTGCCTTCAGTAATCAAAGTTAGACTTTTCCAGGAACATTTCTGCCCATTTCTTGATTGTATAAAGCCCAGTGTTTATTAAGAACTCAATGCTGATGTTCACAAGTTCAGAGGTATTAGCAGAAATCCCAGTGAATCAATGGAATTTCCTTGAGGAAAACCTGATGTGAACATGAACCTTAAAGCCTTAGTTAATGACAATTCTGAGTGCCCCTTTTCTCCAGCACTGTATTTTTTTTTCTGAATTATTCTGTAAAGCCCCTCTTTCCATTTTACATCTAAGCTTTGTGAATA